CATTTCTGGTCATACCCTACGCTTGAATATTCCAAACTCCGAAGCCTATGCAAAGGCTAAATCATCAGTCCGATTGAAGTAACCATAAGTCCGAAACTCCCAAAACGTACAGAAGCAAACGCAGCTCCTCCGTCGACTCCATCAAACGTGGAACTTGTTCTTCGTGTAATATAGCGGCTGCTCAGTTCTTTATTTGGAGATTCAGGAGCTCAGATATAAATCTTTGAGGTTTTGAAACGCTTCATTCAGCAGTGCTGTCACAGGTATTTTTTCGGAACCTGAACCAAGTCCGGCCAAAACAGTCTTGGGCGGGTTTTGTAAAGATTGCTTAGGGCCCATATGGCATGGTCGGCTAATGGGTTTGGACCGCCAAAACATCATTGTGTCCCTGTTCAGATCAGGGCGTTTCGAGATCTTCCTGCTTGAACTGGGTACAAGAAGACCCTTGTCATTAACGGGTGACTGGAGAGTGTTTGGTGTGGAAATTGTCGCAACTGGTGCTCACGATGCTGGGCATTCCAGAGTCCCTGCCTGTCTGGCTGTCGCAGCTGATGTGCATGGTGCTGGGCTTGTCAGGGTGAATGCGGCGTATGGTGCAGAAATCGCCACAGCTAATGCTCATGACGATGGGCTTTTGCCGGGGCGCATGCCGGTGTCTGTTGCGGAAACTGTCGCAGCTGATGCTTATGATGCTGAGCTTTTCAGGCTGCATGCCGGCATTCGGCGTGGAAACTGTCGCAGCTGATGCTCGCGATGTTGGGCGTGTCGCAGTGCCTGGCGGTGTTTGGAGGGGAATTTGTCGTGAATCCTAACCGCATGATTCCCTGACTGCACTTTAATTGCGATGCCCCCGTATAGTACCCTGTTTTTCTTTCAGTGACCCTATTGGACCTCCTAGGAACCCATCCTCAGGTCTACGAGCATCTGGACACAGGAGGAGCGGCAGCGACTGGAGACTGCACGCCACGATCCACAGGAGGCCGGCGTGCTTCAAACATCCGTAGAGCCATAGATAGGACTAAGAGATACTAATAGTAGATGCATTGTGTGCGTGTATGTGGACACACATGTCACATGCATGTATGTGGTTTGGTATGTACGTAGGTAGGTAGGTAGGTTTGTAGGCATTTAAACAGTCAGACAGAGATCTATGCACACACATATATATATATATATACAGATCAGAGGCAATCCCTGTAGGTATAGGTATATGTCTATGCAACTGAATTTTTGGAATACGTATATCCTACCGGTCCGAGTATTCAAAGGTCGTCAGAGCAGCCTCGAGGATGAAGTGCGTGATGCTTGAGTGCTTGGACCCATAAGGAAGTATGCTACAAGTGTAGAGTTATCAGCAACACTAAAAACATATAAATACATAGTTAGATATACATTACGGAGCAAGACAGAAAAGCAGAGGAGAAGAGAGACTGTGACAGAGCACTTTTGGTTGGATCAGATTCGAACTACGGGTACATGTAAATGCGTGCACATATGTTTACATGTATGTATACATGTATATATATATACACACATATACGGGTCATGGTATGTTTAAGCTTTTGGGATGAGAGAAGGTTTTCCGTTTCAGAGTGTCTTCCGATTGAAAGGGTTTTCTGTCACACATGGTCTACTTCCACTACACAGTGTCTTCTGTTAGACAACCTGTTCTGTTACACAAGGGTTTTCGCAGAACTGTTTACGACTTTCGTTGTGGGATTTGGTTTGGTTCGGCCTGGCCCGGCGTGTGTAAACTTTGCGGTGTGGGCCTTCAAACTTCTCACCGCCATCACTTCCCCCGTCTTATTAAATGCATCCTAATAATGAAGACACATTGGTGCGAATCCTCCGAAACCACCCCTGCCCTTTAAACCCTAATTTGCATTAGGGCGTCCGGAGCAAGAGCAGAAGCAAGAGCAAAGGGAGGAGCAAGACCTGGAGTAAGAGCAAAAGCGATAGCAAGAGTAGTTAAGACCAAAAGCAGGATGAAGAGCATGAGCAACAGCAAGAGCAGGGCCAGAAACCTTCATCACTTGACAGTATAGAGGTAACATAACCCCGTAATGATAAAACCACTTTCCGAGTTTCTATTGGGGGTGGCGCCCCCCGCGATTAATATTATCGGGAAGGGATTACTATTGCGGTATATAGGAAGGCGTCTTGGTGTGCCCTAGTGATCGTCCTCTGGTCTCCCGGTCTTTGGGGGGATGGTTTTGTCGTGTCTCCTCGTGGTCGTAACGGCCGTCGTGGTGCTCTATAACCCAGAGGAACCACATAAACTACTATTATGGAACAAGTTCCCCAAAACCATAAGAAGAATGATCTGCTAGGACATAACCAATTCCACCATGGTAGCGTATATGTGGACTGTTTTGTCTATTGTTGACGGATCCACGTTGGCACAGCCTTAATAATCAGAAGGGGCTTTTGGGTATATCAGACGTATTCAGACAAAGCAATCTAGTGAATACTGTAGGTAACTATTCCAACCCGTGTATGAGCTGATTTAGGGTTTACGTGGCCTACACAGATCTTCCAGGGAAGCCTATCATAGGATACAGATTTGCACCATCTTTGGCCACGGAGGAAATCCATGTATACCGTGGCAAAATATGTTTGGATACATGTATACGTCTATGTCTATGTGTGGGTATGTAAGATAGGTGCATGGACCCTCAGGCCAGACATTCTCCAAACGACCCCAAACCCCGAATACTTCAAAGTGGATGACCATATACTAGTTCGGTTCTTCGGCTCAGCAGGCTTTAGCAATCCATGCCTGTGTGTCTCAGGGGTTCAGAGGTGGAGGTATAACCCAGAGGGTCCAAGTACCCAAATAGTAGGGTTTCAGGTCCCAAAATCCATACTCTGAATGGTTTTTGGACCTTGAAACCCTACTATTTGGGTACTTGGACCATTAGGGATAATACATGCGCAAACCCAAACCATCCCCCACCCCTACATAATCCGATGGACTCGCCAGCGCTCCGTGTTGAAGCAATTTCGCCGAGTTCATGTAGAAGTTAGCGGAGGTACGTTGCAAGAGGCGCTTAACCGTAGAACCCGAGCAAGACACCCGCTCCAAAATGCAGCAGCTGTGTCGGCTCGGCGAGCTTACCATCCCTCTTGTCAGTGCACGTGCCTACCATAGGTTTCTACTATCTACTGAGCGCGCAAGCTGTACACATGGGCTTAAGAGAGTCTCAGGTGCTGGCACGGTAGCGTTTCCCGGTTTCCTTGCAGGGCGCTTGTTTACCGCACACCCTGAACTCCCCGAAGGCAAGATGCAGGGACACCGTATTCCCTAAGGGTCCATGTACTCATATAGTATATGCATTGGCTTTAATGTAGTCCCTATATAGGTACATTGGGGCCCATGTATCTCTATATGGGTACATGGACCCTTAGGGATTCCAGATGTTGCTCTCGAAGTTCAGTTCTGCGATCCTGACAAGCAACTTCGGATCTGGGGTTTCGGGCCCGTCAATCCTTCTCCAGGCCTTGAGCCTTAAATCATCTTAAATCTAAACCCTAAACCCTAAATCTTAAATCTTATAGGCCCTAAACCCTAAACTACCCTAAATTTATAGGCCCTAAACCCTAAACTACCCTAAATTTATAGGCCCTAAACCCTAAACTACCCTAAATTTATAGGCCCTAAACCCTAAACTACCCTAAATTTATAGGCCCTAAACCCTAAACTACCTTTAATTTTATAGGCCCTAAACCCTAAACTACCCTAAATTTATAGGCCCTAAACCCTTAACCCAGGCCCCGAACTTTAAACCTTACAGGCCCTGAGCCTTAAACCCGCTTTCCACAAAGCTTCTTCGACGCTTGCACGGTTTAAGGTTTAGGGTTTATAGGGTTTAGGGTTTAGGGTTTAGGGTTTAAGGTTTAGGGTTTAGGGTTTAGGGTCTTGCACCTCGGACGGCCTCAGCCACGGCCTGGGAGCAGCGAATCTGCTGCAGCAGCGAGGCTTCGCAGGTTTTGGGGTATAGATTTCTCATAGGTTTCGCCCAGAGGGTCCAAGTACCCAAATAGTAGGGTTTTAGGTCCCAAAATCCATACTGTGAATGGTTTTTGGACCTTCAAACCCTACTATTACTATTTGGGTACTTGGACCCTTAGGGTAGGGGTTTACGGTGCAGAACTTACAAGCTTGAACTGTGAACTCTACATGGAGCTTCATGGCACTTCCTAAGTATGTGTTGCTATACCTATCCCTAGGTAGCAAGTCCCATGGCCCTCCATCTAGTCGGAAGTCTGGCACCGGGCGTGTGGGGCCTGAGTGTGTGGAGTTGCTGTGGACTACTTCTTCTAGCAAGTCCCGATCAGCATTCAGGACATTCCACATGATGTTGCCTGTGTGGTGCCTTGTAGGGCTTATAAGAAAGATCCCTTCGCACTATTGTTTGATGTTTTTCTGTCCTGGGTGGAGCTGAGGGTGAACCGGGGAATTTTGTTGTTCGGTTTACGGTTGAACCTCTTTCCAAGGATCAGAACGCCCCTCCCTCCCTGGTATATAGACTTTTGGTATGTTCTGACCACCTTCGGTCCCTGCAGCCGCCACACAGCAGTCGCATGTCCCTGGAGCCCTTGCATCCTCCAAGTCTTCTGCACTGCAGTCCCTGCACTGTCCCTGCAGTCCTACATTCCTTCAGCAAGCCCTGGCCGATAAATTTGCTGGCGGTTCATCCAATCTTGAGAAAGCCTTGGAAAGGGGGGGAGAAATAGAAATTTGGAAGAGGAGCTCAACCCAAGCTTGTGTCTACCGGTTACCGCCCGATGCCCTCGAATGTGTAGGCCTGTTACAGGGTTTCGGGGGTCCACCGCTTTGGTCGTTGTCTAGGACCCAGAGTGGCCCTTATTCCCTCTTTCAGGGTTTAGGTTCCCTTGTAACCCCCTTTCAGCCAAAAGGGGCACGCTATTTAGTCCTAGGTTAGTCTTAGGTCTAGTTGTAGAAATGCCCCTTTTCCCTTTGCCGTGAGGCTTCCGAGATGGATTCCACAGCGACGGCCTTGACACTTGGCGCCTAGGTTTGTCCCCAACCCCTACAGAGCCACCACCCTGAACCGAAACTCGACACCCTACCCGGCCCTACCCCCTGAAACCCCTCACACTAAAGCTGAAACAACCCTAACCCTTCATCGCAAAGCTCAAAAGTTCCAACGTCTTAGAAAGCAATCCCTTGAAAAAAGGTGTCTTTACAGCGTTACAATGGTTTCTGATTAAGGGTATTAGGGGATATATAGGCTTCTATAGGGGCTCTTCAAGGAGGTTTAGAGGGGTTGCTATAAGGGCCATCGTAGAGGTGTGTAACATGGGCCTGAGTCATTGCAATAGAGTCAATAGAGTTTTGAGGGTATGCACCAGTATTATGTTTACATTAGCGACAAGTAGAAAGTATGCATGCAGATCCTGTGTTCTAGATTTTAGGGTTCGTTGGGTCAGACTTTTTAGCGTCACTTGCGTCCGGATCTTCAGCCGCAGCTTTTACATTGCAGTGTAGAGGGAGGTTAGTTTTCAGGTTTTCCTGGCCGGGCGAGCTCCAATCAAGCCTGTGTAAAATGGTTTTGTTTTTAGGGCTTAAAGGTGTAGAGCGTTTGGACATGATATCTTGTACATCGGGATTTGCGAGGCACGCGGGTGCGTGATGGTTCAGTTGAACCATGGCCTCGTTATGCAAGGTTGGTACTCACGGTTTCCTTGTGGTGCCTTGCCTGTCGTGAATATAAGCAAACTCCTTTTCAAGAGGTCATATGACCCTATACACCTGGCCTAGTCAATCCCCAACACCCACTGAGGCTTGACAAGCTTTTAAAATCATTAACCACTGAACCTAGTTCTTTGTTTTTTGGTAACGCGTATGCCGTATGCCATGTCCAGCATGTAAAATGTCCATGGCCGTGGAAGTTGGACTATTGAGTGGCAAAACAGCTACTTTGAGAGTTGACCTGGAGAAGGATGAGGATGTTGGTACATTGACGCCTCGGGCGCAGATTGCGCTGGGAGTCGGGAGAGGGCGGCTGGTGAATGCGGCCGGAAGGGTTCTCGATGCATGTGATTTGATCAAGGATTGTGGGGTGCAGAATGGCGAGTCACTGACCTTGCACATAGGCCGAGTTCAGATTCGGGCCACCCACCGGGCGTTTGCCGCAATTCTTGGCGATGGATCCGTCGTGACCTGGGGTGTTGCTCATTTCGGTGGTGACTTCAGTTCTGTACAGGATCAGCTGAAGAATGTTGAGCAGATCCAAGCCTCTAGCGATGCCTTTGCTGCCCTTGTCGGTGGTGGATCCGTCGTTACATGGGGTGATGCTCTTTTCGGTGGTGACAGTAATTCTGTGCAGGATCAGTTGAAAAATGCGCAGCAGATCCAATCAACTGCCACGGCTTTTGCTGCCATTGTGGTCGATGGATCTGTTGTGACCTGGGGTCATGGTGGCAATGGTGGTGACTGTAGTGCTGTGCAGGGTCGACTGAAGAATGTTCAACAGATCCAAGCCACCATCGGCGCCTTTGCTGCCATTCTTGGTGACGGAACTGTCGTGACCTGGGGTGAGGCCAGCAACGGTGGTGACTGTAGTGCTGTCCAGTATCAGTTGAATAATGTACAGCAGATCCAGGCCGCGAAGTTTGCCTTTGCTGCAATTGTTGGTGATGGATCTGTCGCGACCTGGGGTCATGCCGGCAGTGGTGGTGACAGTAGTGCCGTGCAGGCTCAGCTGAAAAATGTGCAGCAGATCCGAGCCAACGCCCGCACTTTTGCTGCTATCCTTGGCGATGGATCGGTCGTCACCTGGGGTGCTGCTGGAGTTGGTGTTGCAAGTAGTGCTGTGCAGGCTCAACTGAAGAATGTGCAGCAGATCTAGGCAACTACCGGCGCTTTTGCTGCTATTCTTGGCGATGGATCCGTTGTGACCTGGGGCAACACGCAATGCTTTAGTCGCGCTGCTCTTGAGCAGATGAAAGCCAAGACTGTGCGCCAGATCCAATCCTGTGACAGGGCATTTGCTGCAATCCTTGGCGATGGATCCATCGTTGCTTGGGGTGATGCCAATTCCGGCGGTGACAGTAGTTCTGTGCAGGATCAGCTGAAGAATGTGGAGCAGATCCAAGCCAGCAAAGTGTCTTTTGCTGCGATTCTTCAGGATGGATCGGTCGTAACCTGGGGGCACGCTTACTGTGGCGGTGACAGCGACGCTGTGCAGGAACAGTTGAAGAACGTGCAGCAGATCGAAGCCAATCGCTTCGCTTTTGCTGCCATTCTTGGCGACGGATCGGTCGTCACCTGGGGCGATGCTGGCGACGGTGGTGACAGCCACCCCGTGCAGGATCAGTTGCGGCAAGCGCCGTCCTGAACCTCAAGCCCTACATAGGCCTAGGCCTTAAGCCCTAATTAATCCGCAAACCCGAACCCCCCGAAACCCAGCGTTCTGGCCCATTCTGAGCGACGAATCGGCGGCAATGCTCTTCATGGCTGTGGCTGTGACAGAAACCCAGAACCCCCAAAACCCTAAGAACCCTGAGCCGCCCTAAATCCTTAGATGGGGCAGGTCGTACATGGGTGGTTGTTAAAGTATAACCCCTTTTTTGGGTCCGAAGTATGATAACGCACTTAATATTCAGGTTACCTAGAAAGGGACGCTAGTTTTGACAACTAGTTTGGCTTGAATGTCCGAGAGTTAGGGTATGTTAGGGCGTCGTAAAATGGACCTGTGAATCCAAAAACCTGCGTACTGTTTTAGGGCTTCCTGTATAAGCGATATATAGGGTTTTGGGATTTTAGGGTTTAGGGCTTACCTGAAGATCCAAAACCCTACTGCTTCAGGGTTAGACCCTTTAATTTAGGGGTCATAACCTAGTACTTTGTAGGGTTTGAGGGATACGGGGCAAGCTAGGCCTACGTATGCCTTCCTGTGCACACTGCGAAGACGACAGTTCAGCAGAACCTTCAGCCCATTTAGTCTCCTAAACTCTTGCAATAGCCCCGAAAGGCCTAAGCCTGAAATAGCTGACAGACGGTCGTTGAAGAATATGTGAAGCTACGCGGAGGCCAGATGAAGTGATAGTCGTACAAGTGGCTTGGTATACCAGCAAGGCAAGCCAGCAACACGCAAAACCACTACTAGCATGCAACGCAATCCGACATGAAGCGCTACCACAGTGAAATGTAGAATACATCCAAAAGTAAGTGCAAGACAGGCAAAATAGACATCAAGTGCGCCGTTCGACAACAACAACAACAACAACCGCGGCCATTGCAAAACCAGAACGCGAAGGGAGCACGCGCCAAAACAGGCAAACACAAGCAAATTGAGGTTGACATGCACATAGTCTGAGGTGCGAGAAGCCTCATAAGCCTAAAATTTCAACCCTGGACCCTAAAAAGTTCCAAGCCCTATACCCTCCCTCCCCCCCGTCCCCCTTTGCATACCCAAACCTTACAGTATCTTACGAGGCCAACTCCTGCTAATGAACCTGTACAGACATCTGGTTCTTATTATGAAGGGACTCCACCATTAAACTTTGAAGGCTAGAAGTTCTAGCCTTCCCTGGTCGGAAGAGAGTTGTTCGAAGTTTGGGTTTTTTTTTGACGTTGAGGGTGAGTTGGGCTCTTTTGTTCAGGTGGTTTTGGCGGTTTGAGGGGTTCGAAACCAGTTGCGAAGGCTCCAAATGCTCATGAATTATATACTTTCCTTTGATCAGAAAGTAGTCCCCACAGCTACTTTACGGCCAAAGTATATGCTAGATGGGCACATGGACCCTGAGAGAACGTTTCGGGCTTTCAGTGTTTGGGGCTTGGAGGATTCGGATTTCGATTCCAGGCCCCTTTTGGGGTTTTAGTGGGATAGAAATCCCTAAACACTAAACCCTGAAGGTCAGGGTCGAGCCGGCAGCCGGAACTGAGCACACGAAGGGTCCGGAGGATGCTGAGGTGAACAACTGAGGGGTTTTCGGGGCCGATAAGTACGGCCGTTCCTCCTGGCCCACTGGGCCTTGGTGTAGCAAACTGGGTTGCAGGCATCAAAAAGGAGCTCAAAAAACAAAACCTAAACCCTAAGGCTTGCAGTGCCTGGGGCAGGGGCTTTAGCATAGTGATTGTCTCTTTCAATGGGAACATCTTTGTCCCCAACCCTTTAAGGTAACATATATAAGGATTTCCCGCACTAATCATCCTAAACCCATGTTCCAACTTTTCGGGGGTTCACTATGATCACCCCTAGCCTCAAACTCAGGCTTGAACCCTCAACCCTCAACCCTAGAACCCCTAAACTCTAAACCCCTCTAAACCCTAGACCCAAGAATTTATCATAACCCCTACCTGAACCCCACGTAACCTACCTTTTTAAGGACTTATATAAAGAAATCATATTAGGGAACCCTAAAAAGGTAGGCTCCTTAGGGTCTAGGTAGTCTCAAACTCAGGAGGGAGCTCGAGAGGATCTTGCAGCGGAGCCACGAAACCCTGGAGTCAGAGCTGCGGACCTGGCTCCCTGGCGGAATTCAAGCCTTGAACCTTTAAAGGGAACTCCAGAAAGTTGGAATTTGGTTTCATGGTAGGATACCCTATAATTTACCATAAAGGGGTTAGGATAATCATATTCCAACTTTCTGGCTTTTACCTTAAGGGAGTAGGGTTCCTAGAGCTTATAAACCCGAAAGTAGGGTTTAGGCCGTAGAGCTGTGGTGGGGGGTCCTGTTTGTGGCTTAGGGGCCTGGGGCTTTATGCTACGTTTTTTCTGGTGTTGGACTTTCCCAGGCTGTCTCGGGTAATTATTGGTTTTCCGAATGGTTCCTTAGATCCCCAATACACAACGTTTAAACTTTTGGCTTCTTGTAGTTTAGTAGGAATCGGAAAGTATAACCTTGCATTTTTGGGTCTGTTGGGGAAGTAAGGTCTCAAGTCAAAAATTCACTGCACTTGGCGAGAGCTGAGACAGTAAATTCTAGTGTCGAGAGTGTTTGATGGTCTGGGGTGTGCTTTGGAACTCTGAGATTTTCCTTCAACACGCAAGCGGCCCAAGCGGTATCAGCGTCAACCACGGCACTTCATGGTCACAGCAAGTTGGAATTGCAAAGCTTAGGTTCCGCATCGCCTACGCTTGTATTATAGGGGGTTCAGGGTAGATAGGCTGGTGAAAGGGTTTAAATGAAGTGCTTATAAAAGGATCCCCTCAAAGCCTCAGCGGCCTCAGTATGTCATACCCCATGCATTAGCTTGTTTAATGCTTAGAGGCTTGACCCTGCTGACACCTGTTGACTATCACGCGACGTCGCGCGAGATTTGAAGCAGATCATCTGTACCCTGCTTCTGTTGCTCAAGCATGGCAAATCTGTTCTATTAGCCATGAGCTCGTGACGCCTCGGTACGCCGGCATGAGCTCACCTGCCTCGAGTTCGGAAGACATCTGCAAGCCACTGCTTCTTCTCCTGGTAGGGTGGCTACTGTCAGCAGCGAACTTGTGGGTATCTAGGCGGCACTTTTGGAAAGCAATTTTACTCTGTGCTCTTACACGGGGACCTATGCATCGCTAAAGCCTGACGCAGGTACGTACTCGTAAGTTAGAATATTATTCTTGTTGTTATTGTTAGTATTATTCTTATTATTATAAAGCCTTTAATCTGAATTCCAGGTATGTCTTTTGCAACCGCGACGGTTTGGTGCCTGGGCTTCTGTCATCTACGCAACAAGCGTACTGCTGTGCATCTTGGTATCCTTTTTTGCCGCCGTTCCGACAATACCGAAATCCAGGAAGCCCTTCATGCAGGCGTTGTGGTACGTCGGGCTTGTCGGGTTTGCACCCGCAACAGCAGCCTTCTTCTTGCTCAGCCACCTGGAGCTCATGTCTGACCCTTATGCAGATTACTTAGAGAATCTCGGCTTTTTGTTAAGGAGTGTGACTTAATTTAGGTTAGCATAATAACGGGGGTCTATACTAACTGACCCGGTTTCCCTATTACGGCAAGTTAGAATAAATTCCGTAACAAAAACCCAGGAATGTCCTTCAGTCCTAACCCTTCAACCCTAAACCCTGACCCTAAACCCTAAACCCTGAACAAACCCCCTAAGGGTCCAAGTACCCAAATAGTAGGGTTATAAGGTCCAGAAGCCATTCACAGTATGGATTTTGGGACCTAAAACCCTACTATTTGGCTACTTGGACCCTCTGGGACCCAGGAATGTGGCGCTACTCCTTTCAGCCACGGTCCTGCTGTCGCTGTGGGTGGGCGCGGCAGACTACGTAGGCAGCCTCGGCTTGCAGCCTCTGAAGGATGGAGGCCGAAAGGGTCCTATCTAACCTTTGATACTGTTGATGATATAAATCCTGCATGACCTTAAGGACCCTAAACTATGGGAATTATGGTATATTCCTTATTATGGGTAATGCAGGATTTATATCATCAACCGTATTGGAGGAGCCGAGGAGCTCAGGGATAATGATAATCTTTACGATGAAAGGAGCTAAAGAGCCAAGGGAATCCTAAGACCACTGCTTAGCTATGTCTAGGACCCAGAGTAGGCTCCTGTTCCCTTGTTTCAGGGTTTAGGTTCTCTTATCACACCTTTTAAGCCAAAAAGGGCACCCCCTTTTTATTCCTAGGCTACTCTTAGGTCTAGATGTACTGTTATGGGGATACTGCCCTAAGTCATAGTATAAATTCTGAATATGGAAACCCGACATGCTACTACATCGGTACATAGGACCCTCAAGGGTTTAGGGTTTAGGGTTCTGAGGGAGGCCTCAATTCCTTCCTGTACCCTAAAGACTAAAGAACCTACATTTGTTAGATTTCCCGATTATGACTTCCTTGTAAAAAGTCGTTCAGTGGTTCCGACCATGGGTTTTAACGTCTATAAATGGTGCCTACTTCGAGTCATTTGGAGCCCCAGGAAGTTCTCCAAGAGCAAAAAACGTGTAAGTTTGTTTTTTTGGGTTTAGGGTCTAGAGTTTCAAGATGTTTTACAAGTAAGCTTGTGTTTCTTCCTTAGTCTGCTGACTTTTAACTGGAATGTTCTTGGGCAGTTGGGGGTGTAAGCGGCGCAAGAGGCTGCCAAACCTGGGCACCTCCGGCATTTTTGTTGCCAGGCAGGCTCTTAGGATTCCCAGAGACTCCAATATCTCTTCATTCAGGTATATTCCTTAAATCATATGAGGGATCCTATCAGAATTTAAGGTACATTCCTTAACTAATGGATATTGGAGTCTCTGGATTTTTTGCTTTTCTGGAACCCAGAAGACGGAACTTGCGCCCGGCTGCATTGTTAAGTGCACTCTAAGCCCTTCCCCTCCAAAGACCTATTAGTAAGTGCCCTAGACCCCTTAAGGACCCCATAATAAGGTCCCTGGAGGCATAGGGTAAGGGCCAGCCTAGGTTGGCCACCATCACCTTCTTTCTTGTCGTCTACAACCTGACGCACATCATCGGAACCTAGGTTGGGCTTGGGATCGGTTGATGATGTAAATCCTGCATTACCCTAAGGACCCTCCCGAAGGTATGGGAATTTGTGGTATATTCCTTATGATGGGTATTGCAGGATCTACATCATCAAGAGGATGCTGTTAATAATTTTCCCTTCTTGGCCTCCCTGAACCCGAGACTTCCTAGACCCTGAGATTTTTCAGAGGTTTTATAGGGCCAACCTAGAAGACGGTTCAGGGTTTAGGGTTTAGGGACCCCAAGATTTTTTGAAGTTGCTTTAAAGGGCCAACCTAGGAACGGTGGAGCAGTCGGTCGAGCAAGATCTTTCGCCATGCCTTCAGGCCACTTCGTAGCAGAGCAAGCAAGCTTTGACCTTTTCGGGGTACTTTAACTTGGGCTTCGGGTTTAGGGACGTTTCATCCCGGATGTTAGTCTATAGCATAATCCCTGAATCTTTGGTATTTGCTTCCCGAGGTAGCTGGACAAGTAAGGTACCCTAAGCCCTAAAACCGTCCCTCAGGTGATCTACTGGGTCTTGGTGGTGCTTTGGGTGGCCTCCTGCGTCCGCGTCCTGGTGACAGGTCCGTGCCCTACCTGGGACCCCAAACCCTACAACATAGTAGGTTATGACCGTTAATTAGAGCGTCGAACCCTTAAAACGGTCGGCTTTAGGATCTTTAGGTAAACCCTTTAAAGGCAACACGCTAAACCCCGAAACCTTAACGCCCTAAACCCCGAAGCCCTAAAAAGCCTCGGCCCTAACCCCCTACACCCCTTGTTAAAGCCAACCTCTAAGCTCTAAACCCGTAAACTCCAGTCATAGACTTGTAGCTGCCTTTACAGGAACCCCTATAGACCCCTTTAAAGAAACCCTTGAATCGCTTAAACAACTCGCAGATAGGTCCGGGCCAACCTGGTGATGCCACAGGAGGAGGTCGACAGGCAAACTCTAAAAGTCTCCTTTTCTGCACCTGTGGCTCCGAATGACGGTTTAGGGTTTAGGTCCGAATCCTTACATTTTTCTGAAGGGTGCTCATTTGATGGTTAAGGGATCAGAAGCTGTGAATTTGATAATCTACCATATAAGCAGCAAACGGTTATAAGTTGCAACCTATTTGGGGCGGTTTAGCTAAGTTTGGGTTTTTTCAGGGTCACCGCCTCCTTTTTTGCACAGGGTCTTGGGCTACAGGTACCGCATGCAAATCTCAGAAGCCTCATCGGTGTCGCCATTGCACCAAGTGCTCAACTTGCGTCTTACGCATGGACCATCATTGCCCCTGGCTTCGACAGTGCATCGGGTTTGGGAACTACAAGTTTCTCGGCAGCAATGAGGGCTTAGGGCTTTGGGCTTCAAACTAAACACCGTAATTACACATGTATCTATATCCATAACCAAATGGGAGTTTCCGAAAATAGGGGACCCGAACTACAAGCCAGGTTCTTCGTGACCTTCATCGTCTACTCTGCAGTGGCCTTAGTCTTCAAGGCGGTGACGATGCTGCTGTTCATGATCAGAGCCTTCCAGATAGACGTGTCTTTCTGCACCCGCCTTTGGCTGCTCTCGGCCGAAGTGCTCATGATCGCCCTGGGGGGCACTATGGTTGCATTTGCTGGGTTCCACCTCTTTTTGGTGTCGCGAGGCATGACGACAATCGAGTACTTGACCAGGAATGAAAAGAACGACAAGAAACTTAACTTCGACCAGGGTCTTGTAGGAAATGTGCAAGCCTCACTCGGTTCAAACCCGATGTGCTGGCTGATTCCGGCCTGTCCGCCAAGCGGAGATGGCTGTACCTTCCCCTACACAGTCGTGCCATCGGAGGATGCTCACCTTGTCCCGGCTCCGAAGAGAGACTTGGCGATCTCTGGCACAGAAGACGCTCGACAGAGCCTGAGAGGTAATTCGAGAGTCAGTGACACCGCTGGTAACAACCGCGTTTCACAGCCGTGCATCGAGAGCACAGCAGAGCCCACTTGCATTGAACAGCAGCAAGATGGGTGCGTTGCAGCAGAGACGGCAGGTGAAGACCATCTGGACGATGTGTAGGCGTGTTGTTCTAGAACCTCTGCGTGCGCGAACTGCTTCGAAAAAATATCTTGGCTCCTGCTTTGTCTCAGCAGTCAGCATGGTCGTAAAGTTGATGTCAGAGGCAGAGGTGGGCAGTTGCTATCATTTGCTGAATGGACCGGGTGCAGGAGTCAGCCAGGAACTAAACCCTAAACCTCATTAAACCTTAAACCCAATTAAGCCCTAAACCCTGAACCCTCAACTAAACCCTCATCCCTAAGCCCCTAAACCTTTATAGATCCCTTTTAAAGGGGCCCTTATAGGATCCCTTCTAAACCCTAAGCCCAAAGCTCTAAACCCTAAACCATCAACCCTGAGCCCTAAACCCAATTAAACCCTAAGCTCTACACCCTAAGCCCTCAACCCTCAACCCTAAACCCTAAGCCCCTGAACCCTTATAGATCCCTTTGAAGGAGCCCTTAGAGATCCCTCTAAAGGGACCCGTATAGATTCCTCCTAAACCCTCCCTAAACCCTTAAAGCCCTATAACCCTAAACTCTCAACCCTAAACTAAACCCTCAGCCCTAAGCCCTACACCAAACCCTAATCCCTAACCTTAACCCCAAGCCCTAAACCCTCGACCCGAGACCCCAAGCCTAAAGCCCTGAAGCTCAGGATTTCCCAGCAGTTGGCCCCACCCGTTGCTGCCCCTTCCTGGCCCGGAGCGGGGGAAGGCCAGGGTTTCGGGTTCCTTCCCAAAGGGTCCTACGGTTGATGATATATACTAGGATGCCCAGTAGTACCCTTATTCCTTTTTGTAGTCCTAGGTTCCTTATAAAGTTACCCAATACCAAAAAGAGAGGCCTTTTTATTCTTAGGTTACTGGGTATCCTTGTATATAACTCCTGCATGACCTTAAGGACCCTAAACTCTGGGAAGTATGGTATATTCCTTATTATGGGTAATGCAGGATTTATATCATCAACCGTATGTCTGTTATGGGGGATACTCCCCTAAGTCAGAATAGTAATTCCTAAAATGGAAACCTTACATTCTACTATCTCGTTACATAGGACCCTTTCGGCTTTAAAGGGGTTTAGGGTCCCTTTAAGGGAGCCTTTAAAGGCATCCTACAAGGCTTCCTTTCAAGGGATCTAGAAGGATTTAGGGTGTTAGGGTTTAGGGTTTAGGGTGGTTTAGGGTGTTAGGGTTTAGGGTTTAGGGTGTTAGGGTTTAGGGTTTAGGGTGTTAGGGTTTAGGGTGTTAGGGTGTAGGGTTTAGGGTTTAGGGTTTAGGGCGGTTCAGGGTTTAGGGTGTAATGGTTTGGGAGTTTGGAGGTTTAGGTTTAAGAGGTTTGGGGGTTTTAGGGGTGTTATGGCTTATTCGGGGATGTCTATATGTTTCTTCATTCCTTGCAAAGGTCGGCTATGGTAGGTTATCCGGGGCTGAGCCAGGCTTCAGGATTTGGGGCTCAGGGTGTCTTGCCGGTTTCCAATTCCAAATTTCCGGATCTCCGAAACTGAGGGTTTGAAAATTCAGGGCTTTGGGTTCAGGGCTTCAAAACTTTAGGGCTTAGGGGCTTATAGGGTTTAGGGCTTAGGGGTTTATAGGGTTTAGGTGCGATCGCTGAGGGTTCCTCAAACCCTAGTCCGGGCCCCTGCTTTTCAGTGTCCTTGAACATTGGAGTGGCGTTTTTTGGCACATACAGTACATTATGATTGCAATGAGGGGGTATGATTACTTATTGCTCCCTAAACCTGAGACACTAAGCCCTAAAGCCTTCAGAACTTGATGTTTGCAGGACGACTTCAGGCTGTCCTTCGAAGGATGTGTTGTAGTCGTGGTCCGAAGAGTTTTTGGAAACCTCAAAACCCTGCGAGCCCCACAGACCCTAAACCCTGCAAGCCCTTACAGCCTGTAGCACTGCCCAAGATTCTACCCTGAATATTAAGGGTGAGGTAAGCCATAGCAGAGGTTCTATAGGAGTTCCTAAGGACTTCCGTAGGGGGTTTATACGGAACATAGCTTCAGTTCGGAAGTCTAGGATGCCCAGTACTACCCTTATTCCCTTTTCGTAGTCCAAGGTTCCTTATAAAGCTACCTGTTCCCAAAAAGGCAGCCTTGTTTATTCCTAGGTTACTGGGTATCCTAGTAACCCTGAGCCCTAAACCCTAAGCCCCCAAGCCCTAAACCCTAAACCCTAAACCCCTTAGCCCCCTAAACCCTAAACCCCAAGCAGAGGCCTGGCCTAGAAGTGCTTCAGGCATATTCTCGAATTGAGGGGTCTTCGACTGCATGGCCTTTATCGGGGACGGGTCTTACACCTTGAGGGCCCATGTTGACGGGGTTGAGTAGTTGTTATTCCTGTGCCACTTCTAGCACTTCAGAGAGATCTTGGATACTGCCCCCGACTCAGCAATAGTCGAATAATAATCACAATACAGATGTATTAGGATCCCAATAGTAGCCCTATCATAGACTGTTACTGTATTGGGCCAGTGCCCAAGAGGGATGCAGAGCTCACGAGTCAGAGCACAAGTTTTTGAGGCATGTCGAGCTGCAGAGCTCGTGGCAACCAGCAAGGCCTCAAACCAACACACGGGCGGTTGTCAAAATTATGGTCCCTTTTTTCGGGTCCCTAATATAGTACGGCACCTAATATTTAGGGCACCCCAAAAAGGGACCCCTATTTTGACAACCCCCCCACGCTGCAAACCGGACCCATCATGTTGAAGGTTATTGGCAAGGATAGCAATATGTAGCAGCAGTGCCGCATAGTATATTGCAGAAATTCCCGAAACCCCAGTCTAATCATGCAGGCTTCTGTATCACCAAGATTGCTCATGCCCGAACCCCAAAGCCTAACCCCTCCTCAGCAGGCTGCTTTGAGCCTGAAGCAACCGATGCACCTCCGGAAGCACGGGGAAGTGCAGGGAACGGAATCAGGGCGGGGAGCGGACTTTCGGTGTTTTGTACCGATTTCAGGAATTTCTATGGTTGCAGGGCCCCAAACCCTAAACCCTGTTCTATGGATGTAGGCGCCCATAGAGTCTCACGGTTCGTGAGACTCTAAGGGGTATTGGGTTTGCGGAAACCCACGCCAGCGCATCGGTCATCTACTGGGCTCTCGAAGCTTCTCTGAATACACTTGGGTTCCTGTTGAGGAATTAAGTTCAGGTTACCATAACTCAGGGTCAGGGTTCCTTTCAAAATTTAGGGGATCTAGAAGGGTTCCTTTAAGGGTTCTATAAGGCTTTAGGAAGTATGGATTTATAAATTAAGTCTCCATAATAGGGATCTATAGTAAATAAGATGGCTTCTTTTTCATGCTAACATAAATTAAGACCCTTGACATGAACACAGTCACCCTCACAGGAGCACCCGAAAGCCGAAACCCCTATGAGCCTTCGGAGCCCTCAACCCTTGGGCCTTTGGAGCCCTAAACCCAAAGCCCTGCCGTTTGGGATCCCAAAACCGACTGCTTTAGGGGGTTAGACCCTTTAAAGTTAAGGGGTCATACTGCTGATGGACAAAATCCTGCATTACTCATTACAAGGAATATGCCATAGTTCCCATAGTTTAGAGTCCTTAGAGTAATGCAGGATTTTGTCCATCAGCAGTAACCTACTATTTTTGTAGGGTTTGGGGATACAGGATGACCCTCAACCTCCCAGGCCTTTTTCAAAAAGCCTCCCAGGTAAGCCTATGATCGACACAGTTATAATCAAGAGTATTCCAGGTAGTATTAGCCTTTGTAGTAACGTTCATAGTAGCTCTTTTTAAAATCAAAAACCCCTTATAGTAGCCCTGATAATAACCGAGTTGTAGTAACCGTTATCGTAACTCAAGCGACAGTTCTAGCGGCCTTTATATGCCCTAAACCCTAAAGCTTAGCACCCCTACACCCTGCAAGCCCTATAGATTCGTGAATCGTTTAGTGTGCTCCAGAACTTTGCCCAAGCTTCGTCGCGGATCCAAGATATCAACATGTGGTCGAGGCAGGCAGGCGGCGGACCTCATTGTTGTGACTTCGCGAGTGAGGGACGTGGTTAGAGAGTGGAAACTTCCAGCCGTCCTCTGTAAACTCGATGTCGCCGGGGCGTTCGACCGCATCGACAGACGACGGGTTGCTACGCTTCTGATGCAACGCCTGCACGGCCAAGAGCTGGACAATGAGCTGAAGTACCTCCTCACTCAGCTCCGCATCCACACTCTCGAAGGCCGAGTACCCGGGGAGAAGTGATCAGCATCCGACCGAACAACGGCATCAAGCAGGGCGCACCAGAAAGTGCTGAAATATTCGGCCTGGTGATCGACGCATTGTTGTCTGAGATCATCGACTCTCCTCGCTGGACAGCCCTGGGTGAGAGTCTTCCTGGCCTTGACATACAGACTATGTTTTACCAGGACGACGTCTTTGTTCTCGATCATGATCTATGCAGCATAAGACGTAAACCCTTAACCCTAAAGGCCCTAAGCCCTAGATCCTAAGCGTCACAGCAACCGCAGAGACTCCAATATCCCATAATCAATGAGAACTCCTCTAAATAGTTAAGATATATTCCTTAACAAAGGAAGGTGTTGGAGTCTCTTGTAAGGGATATCAGAATCCCCTAAACCCTATAAACCCTATAGATCCCTTGTAGGAACCAGGGGTTTCGAAGTCTCTCTGGGAACCCTAAACCCTAAACCCTAAACTCTGGGGCCCAGGTCATTTTTCCAGCCCTGGAAACCCGCTTGGCGAAGACGTCGGGCCAGGGTCCCGCGCTGCGCGGCGACGCCGACGAGGCGCGGGATTTAGGGCTTCAGGGTTTAGGGTTTAGGGCTTATAGGGCTAGGGTTTACATTTTAGGGCTTCAGGGTTTAGGGTTTAAGGTTTAGGGCTTATAGGGCTTATATGGGATTTAGGGCTTCAGGGTTTAGGGTTTAAGGTTTAGGGCTTATAGGGCTTATATGGGATTTAGGGCTTCAGGGTTTAGGGTTTAAGGTTTAGGGCTTATAGGGCTAGGGTTTACATTTTAGGGCTTCAGGGTTCAAGGGTTCAGGGTTTAGGGCTTATAGGGCTAGGGTTTACATTTTAGGGCTTCAGGGTTCAGGGGGTTGAGGTTTAGGGCTTATATGGTTTACAGGGCTTACAGGGCGGATAGGGTTTATGGGGCTTATTGGGTTTATAGAGTTTAGGACTCAGGGCTTTGCCTAACATAGGGGCCTAAATACATACCAACCTTTTTTCTTTAGGGTTGCTGTTTAGAAGTATGCTATAAAAGACCATAAGACCCCATTCCATAATTCAGGCCCCCAGAGCCGCCCTAAGCCCTGAACTTGAGAACCGAATGGACCATAAATCCAATACCCTAGACCTAAACCCGAAGCTTAAAAGCACACCAGAGCAACCTGAAAGCCGAAAACTCCGAACCTTACCGGCAACAACTCTATGCTTCAACAACCCGCACCTTTAAACACTTTGAACTCCGGCAACCCCAAGCCCTAAACCCTATTAATCCTGGAACCCCAACCCCCGCACCCCAATCTCTAAACCCCTAAGCCCCGAACTTCCGAGTTTCTTAGAACCCTGAAACCCTTAAAAAGCTCTCTACAGCCAGGATGCCCTTGCACCGGACTCCAGCGTGCAGGTCAGTTCTCTGGCATTACCCACCTTCGCAGGCCCCAGGGGTTTTTAGGGTTCGGGGTTTAGGATTCAGAGGCTGAGGTGTCAGGTGTTTAGGATTTCCAGGGTGTAGGGCCTTAGGGTTTACGTTACCATGTAGAGGAGGAGGGTTCGGGTGCAAGCACAAGCTTGCTGTTGAAACCCCGTTTTGGTAGGGTCTGGTTTCGCAAGCAGGGTCACAGATGGGTCACAGGGTTCAGGATTTAGAGGTTCAGGGGTACCTAGACCCCCAAGTACCCTTTATAGTAGTCCCTAATTACCTCTTAAAGCGAGATGTCAGAGCCCTTTAAAGGGGCTTGGGGGTCCTGGTAAAGCAGGTTCGGAGTTCGAGGGGTTTTGGTTGTCAAGCTTCGTGAACTCGCAGCTGATGTTTGGGGTTTTAGGGCTTGGGAGTCGCAGCAGGCCAGTTGCAAAAGGGCTTAGGGTTTTGGGGGTTTTAGGAGTTTAGGCTTTATGATGATCTCTTTTTGCACCTTGTTCTCTTCCGTGTAGGAGGTCGCGTGGATAGGGGCTTATGATTTACATGCTTTTGTTCTTTGGAGTTTCGATGCTGACTGGCATCGTGTCTCGGATACCGTAAGCCCCAAAACCTAACCCAAATCAGTTTAGGCCCAACTCAAGCTAAGACTGTCCTTTCGCTTCTGGCAGCCATGAGGGCAAACGTCCTGCTGCAGCAGGGCTGCAGATGGAGAATCGGGCGCTCCAGCTTCGTGTTTAGGGATTTAGGGCTTTAGGGCTCTGGGGGTTTCCGGGTTTAGGGTTTTAGGGTTAGCCCCGAACTGGGCGCCTGGAGGACGGAAAATGCTTTGCGATCCAGGAGCACTTCGCTCTTGAGAGCTGGTGCTGCAGGAACCCTAAGCCCGAAACCTTCGAAAATCAATCCTTGGGCTGCAAAGGCCCAGCCCTGCTGATTTGGTGCGTGTGACATCCGAAACGAGGTTTAGGGTTCGTAAGGTGCTTCGCACAGACTTTTCTGCATGGACAAGCATGGACAAGCAAGGACAAGCGCTGCAAGCTCGAGGAGAATCAGCAACTGGTAGTTTTGCGGCTTTGCGGTTAGGACTGCTAGAAGCCGTGTACAACTGCAGACCCATGTACAACCCGCTAGGCCTCCGATTCCATCCGTGAGGGTTCAAACATATGCTAACCTGCAAGTTTCAAAAGGAGCCAAAGTAGTTGAAGTAGAGGGTAGGGTTTCAATAAAACGGAAAGTAATTTTGCTTTTGCTTGGATCAGCATCCCTGTCTACATGCATAGGGCACCTCACCGGATTTGAACAAGGGTAACCTCCGAGACTCGCAGACAGAGAGCAACATCAAAACAGGCACAGAGACGGTCTCCTCCGTGCACTAGTACTCATGCCGTTAAAGTAAAGTATAGGGTATAGGGAATCCCAGCATGAATCATCCTAAATCTATGTTCCAACTTTCTGGGTTTCACTATATTATATAGCACCCGAAGCCCCAAGCCCTATATAACCCATGAGATCCGTGACCGTAACGAATACCTAATAAACATTTATCAACCTCCCTTGAAACCCCTACGCATGAACTCTGCCACCTGAACAGCATTGCCAGAGATGACTGCGATTAGCTTTCTCCGAGACACTTGCGGCTGAAATCCTATGATAGGGTGAAGGGTTTATAAATCAGGTCTAAAGCCTAGAGCGGTTCCACACCGAAAACCGCACAGTAAACCGTAGCACACCCAGGCCCTGAACCCTTCCAGGGCTCAGCTAGTCCCTCGTCATCAGTACTGTAACTCCCTGAAAGCTTCGTACAGCCCTAAAGCCCCAAAGCCTGAACCACGAAACCCTAGAACCCTAAACCTTAACCAGTACTAAAAGACGGAGGCGCCCGCCCGCGACGCCACTCCCGAATGTCGAAGCAGCTGGTCTAAAGGAGCCCAAAATCAAAAGGATGCCCATGCAGGGGCCTTCATAATCAGAGTAGGACTAGGCTAGGTTTTTCATGGCGTTGTTAGGGGTTTAGTGTTGGGGCCTCAAGAAATTACAATAGGGTTATAAGGGTTTCTATATGAGGTTGCCGGGGGGTTGCAAGGGATGACAGCGGCATTTTGGTATATGGGCCTTGACACTCAAAATAGTGTTCCGGGGCATTTCATACTATAGTTATCATCTTGAACTTATGGAATATTATCCCTGCGGTATTTCCTATGCAAGATCGATACAGCCAGGAATTTCCTGATTTTTAGTGCGAAGCCTCTCGGGTTACGAGTGCAGTAGGTTACTGTCTGTGCGCAGAACCCTAAACCCATTGCAGCGATAACTATAGAGCGTCCTAGACTAAAACCTCAAACCCTAAACCCTTAGACCCTGAAGCCTAAACCCGAAACCAAAAAAGCTTGAAGCACGTAAAATAGGGGCCTTAATGACAAGAACAACACTATCACTAAAAATCAAGGCCCCTACATTAGAGCCTGATATCCGAAACTCTGACAACTTCAAGGGTTGCAGCGCCTCATACCTCTGACAAATGCAGCTTTCTGTGATGTTTCAGATACGGCGACTTTACTTCTCCCTTCCCTATGCTTTCATGGACCTTATCTAGGATGCCCAGTAGTACCCTTATTCCCTTTGTGTAGTCCTAGACTCCTTATAAAGTTACCCAAGGCCAAAAAAGGAGCCCTTTTTATTCCTAGGCTGCTGGGCATCCTAGTTATAGCTCGGGCCTTAGACCATTCAACGACCCAAGAACTGGGTCTTTGGAAGCTTAGGATGTAATTTTGTCATTACTTATAGCACCAGGTATCAGGTAATAGGTACTTACAACTCTACTTACCAAGTCCCATGAGCCTCCCAAGTACCAGGCTCTTCTCAACCCGCACTCGCTCGATCAATTCCGGGGAACGAGGGAGCCATCGAACTGATGTAAGCATTGAGCCCTAAGCCCTTTTGGTACCTTTCCATGGTATGTATAACACCTGAAACAAAGAACCTTGGGGCCCCTAAACCCCAAGTGTTTTTTATCCCGCTCAGGGGCTCCGTTTGCTCTGCAGATGTGGGCGAATCCTCTGCAGATGTGGTGACCGTGCTGTCGCAAGTCTCGTCGACCCTCAGCTGCGCTGCGGTTGATGATATGGGTGGTTGTCAAAACTATGGTCCCTTTCCGGGTACCCTAAATATTAGGTGCCGTATTACAATAGGGACCCAAAAAGGGGCCCTGATTTTGACAACTACCCATATACATCCTGCAGTACCTTAAGGACCACCTAAATCAGGGGAAGTACGGTATATTCCTCGTTGTGGGTAATGCGGGACCTATATCATCAACTGCAAACAGTTTTGCAGGGATTTTTAAAACAAGTTCGAAGTAGAGTAGGTAACTGAGAGGGGTTAAGGGTTCTAGTTTGATGTAAGGGCAAGTTTTTTGTTCTATCAGGGTTCAGAAGAGCTCCTGAGTAGTAGAGTGGATCACTTTTAAAAGAGATTTTGGGGTTGAGGGTACTACAAGGATGCTATAAGGTTTCGTTACGGGCTGTTGGTAGTAGAGAAGGTAACCTGTAACTCTTGCGTGATACTGGAATCCGTATATAATTCCACAGGATTCTTTCGTTCCCGTTGGATACTTGGCAAGCGGGACAAGGAATCTGAAGTGCGCCTTCAGCTGTAAGCAGAGGGTAGACTTATCATCGTGGCCCAGGTTCTATGCTTGGCACTATATTTTCTCGAACCCTGGGCATCAAAATAGCCCAACAGTCTTATATAGTATGGTCTTTGGGCCCGAAAGCCTCATTATACGAGTCCTTAGAGCCCTAGCATAAGCCCTTAACCCCTAAACCTAGTAGTAGAGTAGGTATCCTTTAACCTTTTGTGGGTAGTAGTATAGTCCCTATATAATCCCTATTTTGCCAAAAAGGTTAACCTTTAGTTCCCCATGATACCCCACAAGTATGAACCATTTAATTGTAGTATCCTTAAGGGAGGGGGGTCCAAGGGGGGTATATAGCCTAGTGAACCCTAATTCTCCCTAGTACTCCCTAAGGTTCCCTTACAGTCCCCTAAGGATTCCTTATACCCTCCCCCCTTGAACCACCCTCCCTTAAGGATCCTATAATTTAAAAAACCAATGGAGCCCTCAAGGGAAGCCTTCAATAGAACACTTAAACCCCTTCAGGAACCGAAAGGAGCCCTCAAAATATCCCTTGGGCCGTAATCCCTTAAAAGGTTCCTAGGGTGCCTTGGGGTTCCTTGGAAGGGATACTGTAAGGGTACTATTCTATGACGGTTTAAAGTTTCCGAAAATTAGGCGTACCTTATTTGGGGGTCCTTAGAATAAGGATCCTACTATTTAGGGTGCTAGAGGAGGGTCCCCTGTTTTCGAAATATACCCTCAGGTCGTGTTTTTTACAGAAGCATGCAAAGCTTCCGCCGTTCCCAGGGGTCGACGGTCACGCTGGGCGGAACCAGAACAGGAGCCAGGGAAGCGTTCGGGCTTGAGGGTTTTACGGTTTTGGGTTAACTGCAAAATGAGGTTTTGGTGTGTTGGGATCTGGTCTTTTCGATTCTTTTGGTTGCTTTTTACAGATTGGTGCTATTTTTTTTATGGTTTTCTGTACTCAATCTAATGATACACGGCTCAGTGATTGGTCAGACAATTGGACGTGGGATTGAACGCCGTTGCTTCGAATTTTGTGGTATGTTGGATTCTGTTTAACACCCAGCCCTAGAATAATCCCTTGGCCGTAACCCATCTTATAAACCGGCGTGCCACTCCAAGTCGGTGGAGCGTCCGCATCGTTTAGGGTCTAGGTTAGTGGAGTTTGTGTCATTCGATTCGGTACTTGGGCCCGTAGGGTAAGACGGTTAAAGGTGTTGTGTACTTCAATGTTTAGGGCTTGCAAGGCTTTTCAGGCTCAAGCTTTTGAGCCGTTTGCTATCCCGCCCCAGAAAAGGAGTTTCGGATTTGGGTTGCACCAGCATGTTTTAGAAGTTTAAAAATCGTAAGGTTGTGGTGATGGGGTCCCCTTTAACGGTTCTCTAACGGTTTAGGATGGCTTAGGGCATGAGCATCCCTGCACAGGTAATGTACAGGTACCAGAGTGCTTGTATACGAATGCCAGAGAGGCCTCAGTATATGCTACATAACCACATGGAATGCTAGGGAGGGTTTGGGCTTTCGGGTTTTTGGGGTTACGACTGTGGGTGACGTGCTATGGCTCATGCTTCGCCCCAAAACTCTATTCCAAAAGCCACAGAATCATAAACCTTGAGGGCATTCAAGCCGTAGGCCCCAAGACTCCAACCTGTAACCTGTGAAGCCCTTCATCCCAAAACCCTTAAGCCCTAACCCTGACTAACCCTTAAATCCTAAACTACACTAAACCTTTAAACCCAAAACCCTAAACCCCAAAAGCCAAAAACCCCAAACCCCTCAAAACCCTAAAAGCTCAAGTCTCTGAAGCTTTGCCCTAAACCCTAAACCCATACATTCAGGAGGCAATGGCACGGATGCGTTCCAAGAAAGACGGGAAGAAGGCAGCCTTGCTAAAGGGCTCTTTCAAGGGATCTATAGGGCTCCTTAAAGGGATCTATAGGGCTCCTTAAAGGGATCTATAGGGCTCCTTAAAGGGATCTATAGGGTTCCTTTAAGGGATCTAACTATAGGGTTCCTTAAAGGGATCTATAGGGTTTAGGGTTTAGGGTCTACTTGGAGGTTCATGGGACTTAGTGATTACAGTTATGAGTACCTTAACTGGGGTTACAACTAATTATAAGTATAGTTCCCGTGAATATAACCCTAGTTACTAAGTCCCATGAACCTTCAAGTAGGGGCCTAAATAATTAGAATAGGGTTTCGGTGCCAAGTATAAGGGTTCCATAAAACGGATACTATGAGGGTTTCTATAAGGGTTTAGCGACAGATGTCCGTGAATAATCTAGGAGCCTAAATTGTTACCAATACTGTTTTAGGGGCTCGCTGTTATAATTGTAATATAAAATACTACCCAAAACCCTATTCTAGTCACTAAGCTTCCAGTGGCTTTATCATCGGGTCCTTGAGGGGTCTAGTCTAGGGCCCTAACTATACGGTCCTTGGAAGCCTTGGGAATTGCATAGACTCTTAGGGCCTGATTTCGGGAATGCTGCAACTTTTTGAAACTCTATACCCTGAACTATCATCCCTACATCATGGTAGGGATCATGGCTTTTTTTAGGAGCTCAAAAAAACCAGGCAGACAGTGCCGTGGCTCTTTCGGCTTAGGGTTGCATTGCAACTTTCTATCCTTGTTTACAGGCAATACCCTACAATCAAGTGCTCAGAAGCTACTATCCTTGCGCTCGTCCCGCTTACTCCGCAATCCCTCGGCGCTTCGGCCCTAAACCCTGAAACCACAAGTTCAAGGGTTCAGGGTAGTGGTTTCAGGGTTTAGGGCTTAGGTTAAGGGGTTTAGAGTTTAGGGTTTGGGGTATAACTAGGGGTTAACGGGCTCAGGGTTGTGGTTTCAGGGTTTAGGGAGCGGGAGCGAGAGAGATTGGAGATGGAAGGCACGAGTCCTTCGTCTTTGCTGCTGGCATTCCAGAGAGTCCAGTTGTAAACGGGTTTATGTAGGGTTTAGGGTTGCGCACCGACAGTGACAGAGCCAGAGCCGAAATCCTGAGCCTGAAATGGTGAATTTTTACCCATAGACCCCAAAGTAGTTCCTTTTGGGGGTTCATACATAGAATCCTATAAGGTAATCCCAAAAAGGAACTACTTTGGGGCCTATGGGTAAAGCCTTGTGAAGCCTTGAGACCCTGAGGCCTGCAGGGTGATTCAACGAAGGCTTATTTCACACGTTGTCAATGAAGTAGTCTGTCGCTGAGTTAGAAGCTGAAATCTCCACTCAAGCAGCGAACCCTACACCCTAAGCCCCTGAACCCTATAACCCTCATCGCCGCCCCAAGCTCCGAGCAACCTCTGCCTATGCCCGTTCCGGCTGAAACCTGAACCTTAATCCTGGAGCCACCCAGAACAAAACATCACCCCGCCAACCCTTACTAGTGTACGAACCCTTTTAGCCTAGCATAGCCTATGGACAGCGCAGCAATAGCTAACTATCAACTCCGGTACCCTGGATACTCGACCTTACGTGACGTTGACGGTCGAAAATTAAGGATCCTGGCTTTCAGAAGGTTTCTGCATTTACGGTTTAGGGATTTATGTTTTGTTTGTTGTTATTTCCGGTTTTCGGGTGTATAAGGTTTAGGGTTTAAGGGTTCTCAAGGTGTTTGATAAGCGATTCTTACTGTCAGGCTGCGAAGCCGAAGCCCACCAAGAATTTGTGCAGGCCGTCTAGGGGGGGTTGAGTCCCGTTTGTAGTTTGGGGTTTAGGGTTCTAGGGTCTACTAGAGGGGCCTTAATTTTAGAATAGAGCTTTGGGCCCAGTATACTAGGAACCACCAAACTAGTATTGGTAGTTTAGGCCCCTATAGTAAGTTGAGGGTTTAAGGATTTCAAAGGTAGGGTTTCGGGTTCGGTCTAGTGACTGGGAGTTGCTGCTGTGTGTGTGCATCCCCCCAAACCAGACTAAGCAAGTTTTTTTGGTAATGGCCGTATATCTGGACCCTCTAGGATTGGGCACAAGGGCAGTATCGTATTGAACTCGCAGCCCTACATGCAGCTTCATCCGCTGAGTTTCGTGCGGACTGGGGGTGAGGCGAATCTGTTAGATGTTTAATGGCCTGTTGGGGATGTGCATCAGGGATTTACGTTTTGTTCAGGGTCATGGGGTTTTCGGATGCTGTTTCAATGTGTCGGGCTCGCAAAATTAATACGGTTGTGGGCTTGGGGCCAGGGATCCCTCACGCAAGGCCTGGAGGTAGAATTCCTGTGCGAGAATTACGTAAACCCTGTACTTTAAAACTGGTCTGACCTGAATACAATATCTAGTTTGTGTTATTGCACACCCCGGTTCTGACTTCATAGGGACAGGAAAGCCCCAAAACTCCTGCAGCTCTACATAATCCCCAAACGCTGGCACTTGGCATGGGGTGGTCTGGCAGTCAACCCTAAACCCTACACCCTAAATTGAACACTGGAATAAAAGCAGCGAAACCGCGATCTTTCAACAGGCGGATGATCGAGCATCCCTGGTTTGACAGAGCTTTGGCGAGCAACATTGGGGCCTTCGGTGTCTTAGGGTCTAAACCCTAATCGCTGTACCCTATTGGGATCGCCACCCTCTGCTTCTATAATCAGCTCAGGGGGAGGGTCATTTGTTGTGTTCCCCCTCTGCACTCCTCTTCGGAAGTGCCCGACCGTTTAGAGGTTATATGGCATGCAATACAGGGGTCTAAATAACTACCAATACTTCCTTTTTGCTGCGCCAGCGGCGTCTTGAAGTTGACGTACAGTCGATTCACGGTATCGGAAAATTCTCGGGGTTCCTTACGATAACTATAGTATAATCGGCCCCAAAACCCACATTACCACTATGGGCTATTGGACCCTAAAGATCCTTATTATGACCCTATTAAGGGTTGATTAAGGTACCCTTAAGGTCTAATAGCCCATAGTGGTTAGATGTTCCGGCACTTGAGGAATCTTCGCGTTCATGATCATTGCCAGCTCTGTCGCTGTGGGTGCCGAAGTGGAGTACACAGCATCTGGCCCGCAATTCTGCGAAGAATCCCACCAACCCTACTCCCTGAGTTATCCCTGAATTGTACATTATGCGAAATAACCCTAAACCCTAAACCGTGAAGTGCTAGGCCGTAAAGCTTGAAACCAAACAACATCAACTTGAGGAGTCCTTGAACCGTGATGCCACAAATCTGTACCAAAGGCTGTGCCCATATGGCCCAAAGTAGTTCCTTTTGGGGTTCATATTTAGAATCCTATAAGGTAATCCCTAAAAGGAACTACTTTGGGGCCTATGGGTAAAGTATGTTGACGCTAATTCGGCTCAACCTCAACACCTACCCGATATACTAGAATATAATCATTTAGTGCCCTCAAAGGGGGCTTTATTGTAGAACCCTATAGTACTCTTAAAGGGAGCTCTATTATAGAACCTTATAGTACCCCTAGAGGAGACCCTGATCAACAAAGCTGGAGATCCTGCCCAACACAGCTTAAACTGTCTGGTTCTTAGTGGGGAATGGGGGAATGGATCATGGGGACTATTACTTGGGATTATAAAGGGACTACTCTAGGGATCTATTCCCCCAGTCCCTAGAAAGCACCAGAAGGATCATTGGGTTTAGCAAGTTATAAGCACAGCAACTTTGTCTGCAAGTACGTATATCTCAGATGAAGGTACTGATACCCCGATTTCCAACTACCTGAGAACCTTCACGTAACACACAGGTTTTTCAAAGGGCCATACTTGAAGGGTCATGGAACTTAATAAGTAAAGTTATAATTACCCTAGTTGGGATTATGTACAAGTACCTGTAAGTATGTCTACCTTGTTTATACCCCATATTGCTAGGTCCCATGAGCCTTTACGTAAGCCCAAAAATCGAAACCCTCACCCTACGACAAATGGCCGAAAAGCCTTATATAGTATGGTCTTTGGGCCCAAAAGCCCTAAAATATGAGTCCTCAGAGCCTAAGCCATATAGATCCTTTAAAGGAACCCTTATAGATCCCTTTAAAGGAACCCTATATGAGTCCTTAGAGCCTAACCTTGCGACCCTGGAGCGTAAACTGAGGCACTTGCCATGTCGAACGAGCTGCCACCCATCTTTGCTGGCCTCCAGTCTTTTGGCTTGATTTCTCGGGCCAAGTCCCAGGGTATATGGTTTAGGGTGTTAGGGCGTTGTTTTAAGATCAGGGTTCAGGATTTACGGGGGGGCGGAGTGAGGTTGGCTTTGAGGATGTAGGATGTAGGGTTTAGTGCCTTTTGGGAGATGTGTGGGGTCTATGCGTCTTTGTGGGTGAGGTGAAGCTTGTAGGGTTGATGTGGAAACATATTCGGCATGGTTCCCTGTGTTGGGTGCTCAGAGTAATGTAGAGCTATTCACCAAGGCAGCTTATGGCATATGGTATATAGGTCTATTCTGTGACATCTCCGGGTTGCTGCTGTCCAGATTGCCCAATTTGTAAGTGCATAGATGCATTCTCAAGGCCCCAAAATTGAAAGCCCTTCGAAAAATCCGTTAAACCCACAAGCCCTAAGCACTAACCCATGAAATCCAAATCCTGAAACCCCTAAAGGCCCTAAGCTTAGGCCCCAAAGCCATTCGCCGAACCCGAAGAGCCCGAAGCCCTTTTCCCCTAAATTCGCATTGACGCCTTTCAGGAAGCCTCAAGCGGTTCTCGTAGAGTTTGGGGTTTCGATTGAAACCCTTGTCACTAAAATCCCACAACCAAGGGGATCGAGTTTATCAACACATGCCGGCACAGTCCCTATAGAGCTGTTATGAAGGCCCGCAAGGGCTTCAGAAGAGCCAATGGTAGCATTTCCTTTATGGTCCCAGAATCCTATAGCGATGCCTATGCAAGTCGAATGTAATGCTGTCATGGTTTTGCATAATGCGCCCCAATGCGTTTTCAGTTGTTCGGGCCCTACCTCACAAATCCTGCCTCGGATCTTTGCGACGATTCCAGGAGAAAGTGTATTTAAAGGATCATGGGAGGTAGGTTATAAGGAAGGCAAACCAAACGTGCAATTATTTATAGCCCATACAACTAGGGAACTGAGGACCTTACTTACTAAGCCCCAAGAATCTCCAAGTAGGGTTCCGGTATTCCGACCCTAGATGTGATCGGAATAGGGTTCTGGGGTCTTTTGCGCTACTCGCATCAGTGGAAAAGGACTATAAAGGGTAGCTTGTTGTGTCCTCCGACAATTATGAAGATATGTGTACCAAGCACGAGGAACCTGGCATTTTCGACCACGAGGGCAACCACAACACAATAATCAGAATAGGCTGCCTGCAGCATAAGTGGCTGGAGCTTTGTCTACACCGTTCAGCGAAGACCCTAAACCTATTAAACCCGACACTCTGCCTCGAACCTGCCGTCAATCGTTGTCCTGGCGGCATCGCGCGAACCTTCCCAAAACATGCGACAGCATCTCATAGCACAGCCCCAAGCCCTACACTATAGATAAGCATGCCGCATCCCTTGGCGTTGCCAAGTCTTGTAGCTAACACATAACGGCTGGCCTTGACCGAAAAGCCTGCAGTAGAAGCCAGAAAGTTGGAACATGGCTTTAGGAGGATTCGTGCTAGGATCCCATATAATTTGCCTCAAGGGCATGAGGAGAATGATGTTCCAACTTTTTTGGCTTCTACTATAAGTTAGGGCGCCTTAAACCCTAAACCTCCCCAAAACCCCTGTAAACCAACATAGCCCTCCAAGGATCCTGTTCTTTCTCGCGTTCCTCGCGGAGCTTTCGATCCGTTTGGCGGCCTTCAGGAAAAACTTCTTCTTTGCCTTCGACTGGCCCTGAGTCTAGGGGTGAGGGTTTACTGTAGGGTTTGTGGTGGTAGTTGTGATAGTGGCTTTGAAAGGTTTTCTGAGTTTTCACCCACGTAAATACAAGGAAGTTTCGTATGGGGCTTGTCGTTGTCTTGCTTGCATGGCGGTTTAAGGCTCAGGGTGAAGGATGTGGCTACTTGGGAGATACGGTTGGGTGGGGTCTGTCGAGGGTTTCAGGGTCAGGGGTTGAGGGTTGTTTGTTCATGATTGTTCAGGCTTTACGGTTTCGGTTTCCGTGAAGCGGTGCTAGGTGAGGAGCGGGGTTATGGATTATTGAAGATTGCCCGGCTTCGTTTTTGCTTCTGAGTCGGCCTGAATTTCCTTGACCCTGGTTCGAAGATGTTCTTGCGCCCGAGTGGCGCGATGGGCTTGCGGTTTGGAGTCGGTTGTGCTCATGTCCTCTGCTAAACCCTAAACCCTGACATTGAATCGATGAACTGAGCCCAGGAATTCCAGAATCAAGAAGGCACCGGAAATCCTAAACCCGGGGGCTGGAAACCCAAGAGAACCTTAAACCCTAAACCCGATGCTGCCTTCTGTTGCCGCAATGTGCACGCACACCCGCAGTTCGATTGCAGTCAGCCAGAAAGGTGGCCATCAGGGGTCAGGGTTTAGGGTCTACCCTAAGGCTCCAAAGTAGTTCCTTTTTGGGGTTCATATATAGAATCCTACAAGGTAATCCCAAAAAGGAACTACTATGGAGCTCCTGGGTAGTTTAGAGTGTGGTCTGCAGCCTGCCGATGCACTGGTCAAGAACGGGGAGCTTTCCTCTGCAAACAGGCGACATCTCGCTTTTCAGGTTCGGCTGCGCCGTAAACTCGAGTCATAGTCATAGTAGACCTTTCCCGACCCTGAATTTAGCAACTTTTCCGGGCTAGCTTAATAGGTTCCTTTAGAGAAGTAACCAAGAGCAGGCATTGCGATGCCGGGTACATGCATAAACCCGGTGAGTACATGGATCCTGAGCGGTAGCGAAGGTCCATAGACGGCTAAGATCACTTCCACCGAGTACTAAAGGCCTTAAAGTTCAAGATTATTATCGGGGAGCGTTTGGCCCGGAATGCAGGTGAAGGCCAGTTCAAACAGGGCAGGACTAATTGCTCACAAACTGGGGCATGTTAGTTATATAGGGGTACGCTTATGGGGTTGTTGTCTGAGGGCAGAGAGGGCTCGGTTCATGATCAATGGAGGCTCTCTCGGGAGGTTATCCCAGCATCCGCAACTTTACGATTGCAAGAGCGAGTGTTTACTGCAACGCGAGGGTTGAACTATTGTTCCTTCTTTGTCCCTCAGGGTTCATGGTACGCTTAAAGTTAAGGTTGCAACAACACTAGGCAGCAGGGGTCGCAGGAACGTAGGGCTGAAGCCTGAAAGAGCGATACGAGGCATGTTTTGCAGGGGGACGGCTGATGGGATGATTCAATTATTTGGCACCGAAAATTCATGTTTTTTCGCAAAAATACATTAGTCCGACCTTCTAGTCTTAGGGGGCAGGGATTTTACCCGACACCCTGCCTGAATCCATTCTGGGGCCCGTATAGAGCCATATCGGGACACTCATAAAGCCTATCACGAAGCGCTGAGGATGCTGGTTGGAATATCTTCGATTTGGTCGTGGTGATATTTGCAGGGATCGAGGCACAGATTGCTGCGGGAGCTGTTTTTCAAGTGCTTGGGTAGGGCTTAGGGCTCAGGGTTCAAAGTTTAGGGGTTTGTGGTTTAGTTTGTCATAGTTGGGTAACATTTTACATTTTTTTGGGTATCTAAACCCAATAAGGAATATAAGGAATAAAGATGTTCATTTTTAATCCTATCCCAACAATGAACTAGTTTAGTTTGAGATTCAGGGTGTAGCGTGACTCGTGAACGTGAGGGCCAGTGGCATGAAGGTCTAGGGTTTGGGTTTGTGGGGACAAGGAAATAGGTTTAGGGTTTAGGGCTTTTAGGGTTAGTGATGGAGGTTTAGTGATTGTCAATCAGGGTTCGGTCGTTGGGCATTCGGGGTGAGGGTATAAACTTGGAGAGTTTTGGTCCGGCGGAGTTTTGCCTGCGATGGTGCAGCAACTGTGAATGCGAGGGTGGTTTCAGAGCATCAGCGCCACAAACCCTTACATAATTAGACGCTAAACGTCGAGATGTACAGGGTATTTGTCTTTCTACCCCGAGGCCCCAAAGCAGTTCCTTTTTGGGATTCATATATGGAAGCCTATAAGGTAATCTCAAAAAGGAACTACTATGGGGCCTTTGGGTAGCCAGCGACCCAGGCAAGGCCGTCCTGAGGCTTTGCAGGGTCTTTTTTGTGTTGTCAGTTGCAAGTTGCAGGTTAGGGTTTAGGCTTTTAGGGGTTTAGGGTTTAGGGCATAGGGTTTATTGTTTAGGGTTTTAGGGTTTAGGCTTTAGGGTTTGGCTTAGGGTTGCAAGTTGCAGGTTCATGACATGAGTTGCACAGATGCGGCATTTTCGTGTATAAGGCTCAGGGGCTTGCGGCTAACTTGGGCTTTCAAAAAGCATCCTCACAGAAGTGGGACCCTCAACAGAGGAACAGCATTGTAAGTTTCTTGCAAAATTCTTCAAAGCCAACCGCTATGAAATTAAAATCTCACTATCAGCCGTCCTTCAATTCAACAGTGAACCCTACTGGTGTAACCCGGAAGCATTCAGGGGGTTGCCAAGAAGCCCTCACCGCAGAACCCCAAAATTTTACTCAAGGTGGTTAAAGCTTTGTGGGTTGTTGTGGGTATAAAGCGGATCTGACCGAGCTTTGGGTTCAATTTAACTAAGTATGCAGCCTCACCCAAAACCTTACATCAAACAAAAAACAGGCTGCCTCAATGCCGCAAAACCTACAAATTTAGATACAGAAGCCTTAAACACAAACAGAAGCCCACGCCGTTTAAATCTAAGCCGCGACACAACCCCAAGCTTGCAGGGAGTCGGAATTCATATGACATTATGGGGCTTATTAGCATATCATATTTCGCAGGTTAATCAGGTATTAGTCAATGCTTAATGAATTTACGCACTGAATATGGTTTGACCCATCTACTTTCCTCCCAGCCTTCCTTCCTTCCTTATGTGCTTCCTGTCTCACCTTGTTCATTGGTATAAACGATTTTATGTGTGTGTGTGTGTGCCACTGTCGGTATGGGTCGCGAAGAATGAATCTAACCCTGCCTGGGGAACCTCAAACCCTGCTTCGTAAGGTCAACATGCAGTTTCTGTTTACTCCCAATGGAGGGCCCTCGGTAAACCTTTCTTTTGCAACTAAAGCGCTTGGAGACCCTGGAGAAACCCTCAGTTTTAAAGTCCACATCAAACCTTAGACCTTTAAAGCCCCGTACCTTGCACCGTAGCCTATGCCCTCAACCCTGACCCGCCCGAAGCCTACTTGGAGGCTCATGGGACTTAGTAAGTACCGTTACAAGTACCCTAACTGGGGTTATAAGTAATTATAAGTATAGTTACCTTATTTATAACCCTAGTTACTAAGTCCCATGAACCTCCAAGTATGCCCGTCCTCTCTTTATGCTTGCACAGCTTGCGGCTTCATACCTCTTCGTCAACAACCATCCGTTCCTCACTATCGACCCTTGGATTGTTCATTTGAGGGTTCCTATAAGGGCTTTGTAAGCCATTTGGGCTTGGGTTCGGGGTTTGTTCGCTATTTTGTTTAAGGCTTGGGTCGCTTACTCTAGATACTTTGCTGTTAAAGGTCACTACGCAGCAACCCTTTTAAGGCCCAAGTCTGTATCACATGGATACACGAATCCCGAGGCTGCATACGATCCGATCAAACAAACAAAAGAGATCCAACGAGCCTAAACTTGGGGGGGCAGGGGACCTCGTATGTCGTTTATAAGTAGGGTTATAATTGGGGTAATTCTATGTAGGGTTCTTATAGCTCTACTAATAGCCTACTTACGAAGTCCCCTGCCCCTTCAAGTAGGCCCTAAACCCTAAACCCCATAGATCCCTTTAAGGAACCCTATAGATCCCTTTAAAGAGCCCCTTAAGGAACCCTTACTAAGTCCCCGGCCCCTCCAGGAACTCTCCAGCTCTCAAGGCCCAAGTAAACCCCAGCTGGACCCAAACCAGGGAGCCGCCGCCCTACGGCTGATCAGAAGAATCCTGCATTACCCATAACAAGGTAGATAGCATAAAGATAGGGCTCCTTTAAAGGATTCTATAAGTTATGTAAGGGTTACTATAGTAGTTATAAATCCTGCATGAACATAAGGAATACACCATAATTCCCATAGTTTAGGGACCTTACAGTAATGCAGGATTTGTACCATCAACCGTGATTGTACCCTACAAACCCTAAGCAGCAGAAAGTCTGATGATCCCCTCGAGGCGAAGGCAAGGCAAGCGCCCCAATTAATAACCTTAAGCCCCAACCCCTATTTCTACCTCAAGCCCTGCTAACCCCGAAAACCCTGAATCCCTAAGCGCCGTAAAACCCCACACCACTGCAGCACCTTTGTACAGAGAGAACGTATACACTCCGAGGACATGTTTGAACTTATCATGACAAACTATGGAATAAACTGGCTCAACCCCGAGGTCCCGAGGTGTGGCTGGAAGTAAGGCACAGGGTTTGTTTGTTCGCGCTCCTTGCTTATGCTTTTCATTGTTAAAGTTTGCCTGAGACCGGCATAGAGAAGCTGGTGGCTGCAAAAGCAGCTCCAACTGAGAAAGCTCCTGTTGATAAGGGCGAGAAATCCTGGTGAGCATGAACATCTTCCTGTAGCCCCAATTCCTACAAACTAGCAAGCTGCGTCCTCTTAAGTTTAAAGGGTAACATTCGAGACATGGGCAGCGGAAGGGTGTGAGTAATTAGTAAGAGCCTCACTTACAGTTCCTACATGCGCCAAATCGCCAAAGTATGATCCCACACTTAACTACAAGACCTTGTGCTAATTATTAGCCCTAAGCTTGGGACCTTATTATTGGGTCCTTCAGGGCTCTAGGGCCCGAACTATAAGGTCTTTGGAGGCAGAGGATAACGTAACATGATGTAATATATGAAGAACCCGAAACCCTAAACCCCTAAACCTCCATGCAAGCCTCTTCCGCTCCGATGCAAACTTCGAGAGTCCCCCGGATATCATGACACGTACACCCTAGATCCCATAGGTCTTACACGCGAGCTTGAGCTGGCAGAACCGTTCAAGCCTTGGTCAGTTTCAGGGATCCCGACATAGACCTGAAGATTAGAGCCTTTGCAGTTGCTATGGCATCTTCTTCGCAATGCCAGGAGGTGCTGGAAGCAGAGCAGGAAGCAGAGCTCCTGCGCGAGGCCGTGGCAGCGGCACTGGAGGCAGTGGACGACGACGTTGCACCTCCCCAAAAACGCCGCCGCGTGCTCCAAGAGGAGCAGGCGGAAGAGGAGCCAAAAACACAAGACGTCGCACTCCCCGCGGCGGAGCTGCCGCAGATGCAGCTCCCGGCAAACAGCGTTCCGCCACCGGAGGTGCATTGGGGCGTCCTCGCAATCCTCGCCGCTTTGCGGCGCGAGGATTGAAGCTGACGCAGCGCATCGAGAACTTCCGCATGTGTTTTCATAGGGACTTGGGTGAACCTTTGAAGCCCTGTCGCGAACCAAGAACCTCCTCTGGCTTGTCCCCTGAACCCCTAATTAAACCCTAAACCCAACGGTCGATCTCGGGTCTGAACTGACGCACATGAGGGAAGGGCTGGAATTCGATACAGAGCTTGGAGGATTTGGTTGGGCCAACTTGGCTGTACTGCTTCTCTGGGATTCTGCTGGCTTTCGTGATGAGCTGGTGTAGTGCCACAACTGCTGTTTGCTCCCTTGTACAACACAAGTCGTCGGAGCATGTAGTCTTTGTTCGACGTCTTTGAGCTGGCAGTCATCAAGCTACTTACAGCTCGAGGGTCAAATTAGCTATGAAACCGTAGCTTTGTCCAGCTGTTCAACCGAGATTCCCTGCAATGCGGGCTTCGTCCTTGCTAGGTAGGAGGGAAAAACACCCCTAAACCCAATGGTAAACCAGGAAGGCGCTAGATCCCCCTTTCAGCCTCGACGTCTCCTGTTTTCTATGCCGAGGTAAGGATGATCCGGGTCGCTCCTCGGCTGGTCTGCCTCGTTCACCAACGGGAGAACGGAGAACTTTAAACTTTTCGGCCTCGTATTTGGTCTATGGTAGAAAGCTTGAACTTTTTGAAGCCCGCTTATTGAGGAAGAGAGTTTGGGGTCAGCTTAGGGCAAATTTCAACCCGAGAACCTTAATCCGGAGCCCTCAAAACCAACTCGCAGGCAGGGAGGGGGCATTCCCGAAGAGTCTCTGTAGTACCGTAGTAGAGTTCTTTGAAGATCTTTAGAGGCATTTACTTTGTGGGTAAATAGGGGGTCCAAAGTATATCCTTGCAGGGTATACTTAGGCATTCAATATCAAGGAGTCCGTAGGGCCTTAAATTGGTACTTGGGATCACAATATTTGCCATGCCGTGAAGATTGAACCCCCATGCTGCATCCGCCGCTGCACGAACTCTCGAAGCCCTTATAAGCACGTGCACGTGACCCTGATGTTGTCGACGTGGAGCTCCTTTCACTACGGTTTTTGCAGCACTACTCCCTCCATAGCATGTCCATTCCAAGGGCTGATAGGCTTATCTCGGGAGCCCCAAACTATCTTTTTTGATGGTTTCAATCGTCTCTCTCTCCCTCTCTCTCTCTCTCTCTCGCTTTCTCGCTGTCTCTCTTACATATGTAAATATATGTATGTGTGTGTGTAGGGTTTTATTGCAGCAAGAAGTTCGGGTGTTGTTTTTCTCACTCCGAGTATGCTTTCGTTCACGTGACGAATATGTAAGGTGAGAGAAAAGGTTCTCAGACATGCTGGCTAGGGGCATGTGAAACCGTGTTTTGCAAACTGTGTTGGGTGCTGTGGATTGCACGGCCTTGCAGGGTTTATAATGTAGGAACCTCATTAAGAAACCCGAGTCCTCTATCGCCAAAATAGAAAGAATTCATACTAGAGTTCCGATTCCCAGCTGATGATGGCATAGAGCCTGGGTTCAAAATAAGGAACCCAAGGTTTCTTGATCAGGTTCCTACATTATTATAGTACCCTTATAGATCCCTTATAGTAATCCCTAGGTAGATCCCTTATAGTAATCCTTATAGGTCCCTTATAGTGATCCTTATAGTGTTGTGTTGGGTTTCGGGTTCACAGCATCGGGTTTCGGGCCTTCAGGGGATCCATAGCTCGGTTGTATGTCCCTGCTGTTCGTAAGAAACGACCGTACACCTAGAGGCTAGGCCCAGCCAGGCTATCGATATCCTGTAGCCCCCAACCGTACAAGACAGTAGGTTTATCAACCCTCAATTTTGGGGCCTGTCGCTGCAAGCAGTTCGATTTCAGGTCCACTAAGGGTGGCAGGCCCTCGAGGGCTAGGTAGGCCAAACGGATTCTTACCTCGAAGATCATGCGCGGGCAAAGCTCCAAGTTCCACGAAGTTTATGTAAATTTGGAGTTTCCCAAGAAGCCCCGCTAGAGGGGCCTGAACAGTTAGAATAGGGTTTGGGGCATATTCATATCAGTTGTAATTATCATGGGCAGCTCCAGAAAAGTATTGGTAATTATGTATATATCCCTGTATTACACGTGTCCTGGGAGCTGTAAGCTGCTTAAACCCTCGGATGTCCCTCAAACTTAACCGATGCAACCTTCTAAGCCCAAAGCCCGAAAATGTTGCACTTGTCCAAACTTCTTGAGCCCGGGCCGTAAGAATCTGAAGAAAAGCGTGAACCTAAAGTCCTCAGCCGAAGCCACGTGCAGGTTCGGTTTGCGCGCATCATTCGCGTCGTTCGTTTTTTGCGGCAGCTGCGTTCCTTGGCATGGATTGTTAGTACTTGTACCAAGTTTGAAAACTCGCTAAATCATCGTTAGCAGACACCTCCCATGTACTGTACAGGTACTTGGGCCCTTCGGGGTGCCTTCAGTAATTGGCTGGGATGTCGTATTTTAGATTGCGAAGGCCGCAAGACCCGATCCTGGTTCAGACGTAATATAGGGGCTTAAATAATTACCTGTACTACTTTGAGGGTTCCATGTTATAACTAGAGTATAATGGACCCCAAACCTTATTCTAATTATTAAGGCCCTTAAATTAACCTCCAGTACATTATATCACCTATAATCCCTATAGACCCCCTTCTTAAACGGAACGCTCAAAGGAACCGTATTCGAACTATTAAGGCTCCTACAGCGCGAAAGCTGCCCCAAACAAACCCAAAGGCTTCAAATACCTGTACACTAGATACTTAAGCCTTAAAGGGGTGCCTATAAGGGTTCCGTTAAAGGGTTCTATACGGTTTACGGCATAAGGGTCCATGGTACCTTTCTAGTAGATACGTAGGCCTTAATTAAAGGGGTCCCTGTAAAGGCACTTCAAGGCCTAAGTATATACTGATACTGTATGGGTACAATGGAGCCTTAGGGAAATCTTTGACTCTACACCCGACGACTCTACACCCGATGCCTTCAAGTCCCTTGGATGAAACACTGAACCCTGAACCCTAGCCCTATACAGCCTAAACCGCTTGTAAAGCTCTACACCCCAAGCCCTACCCCCCGCTAGAACCTTTCACCTTAAACCCTAAATCCTTACTTCCCTGTAGAACCCTGCATCTAAACACCTTATTCAAAATAAACACCTTCTGGAACCCTTTATAGAGCCCTTGCCCCATAAACTCCCTACAGAATCGGAAATCTCCCAATTCCTTACAGAATCGGAAATCTCCCCATTGCCTACAGAATCGGAAATCTCCCCATTCCCTACAGAATCGGAAATCTCCTTGAAGGCGTAATGGTCTACACCCTTTTTGGCACACTTCCGAGCCTGTTCTGGAGTGGAGCGCCTTGGACAGAACCGATCTCTCGAAGCCCTAACTCCGAGCTCAACCCATGAGGGTTTAGGGGTTAGGGAGTCTTCTGCAGCTCAAATAAATCTTGATTTCCGACTTGGTTTTCGATTCTACGATTATTCAAGGGGTCGGGGTCGGGGTCTTGAGTTGTGGCTTTGCCGAAGCTCGCCGAGAAGCTCAATGACACGTGACATCGGTTCATACTGACCCGGGCTCCACAAACGCATCAGTATACCACATACAATGTAGCAGAACCCTGTACAACCTGCTAGTACCCTTAAAGTAACCTCCAGTGCAAAACTGGCCTCCTACGGTGCGGGTCCCTGGAATATTGAGTGACCTGTTTTGCCGAGTACCTTGTTTTATCTTGGCGTTCTTCTGGTTGGCTCTTTAGACTTTAAATTTTTGAATTTCTATATGAACTATAATAAGGAGGCTAAAAGTTTAACTTTTGGGAGGGGTTCAGAAGTTATGGTACTCGAACCATAGTTCCCCTAGCAACACTGTGCATTGGGTGCTACCACCTATTGGACTCAAGACTCTGGAACCGAAAGAGTTTCAGTCCATGGAGTCAAACTTAAAGGTTCATGGGACTTTGTAGCTACGATTACAAACAAAGTAACCATACTTATAAGAAGTTATAACCCTACTTAAGGTACTTGTAACCTTACTTACTAAGTCCCATGGTCCTCAAAGAAGTGGAAGACTATCAAGAGACCACTATGGGCTATTAGACCCTAAAGATCCCTATTCGGACCCTATTAAGGGTAGATAAAGGTACCCTTAAGGTCTAATAGCCCATAGTGAGAGGGTTTAGGGTTTTGAGGGCTTCCGCACTTCGAGGGCCCAAGTTGGATCCCTGAGTTTTTGCGGATCCTGGGTGCTGCCCAGCCCAGTAGCCGTTGACTAAACTCTAAACTATAGTGAAGCCCAAAAAGTTGGAACATGGATTTAGGAGGATCAGTGCTAGGATTCCCTATACTTTGCTCTAAGGGCATGAGGCTAATGATGTTCCAACTTTCTGGCTTCTACTGTAAACCCTAAACCTGAAACCATGAAACCCGAAGCCCTAAACCCTGTAAACCTTCAATCCTATACATGAGTGGTTGTCAAATTTGTTGGTCCCTTTTCGGGTACCTATTATATTACGGCACCTATTATTTAGGGCACCCCAAAAGGGGCTTCAATTTTGACAACTACCCACATGCTTTCTTTCGGACTGTGGACTTCGCAAGATAAAGGGTGTAATACTATTCCGTTCAGAAAACAGGGCACTGTATGCACGGGACTTGTATTCAGGATCCTGCTATATAGGGTCGATGTTACGGTCCCCTATAACTCCCATACCAGAGTCTAGTTGTGCAGGAATCCGCAGTAGTTTGCTGTTAGTGTTATGGTTTCGTCTTTGAGATGTCATTGTCAGTTTTGAACTTTTGAGTTCTGGAGTTTCAGAACTGCCAGGATCTCACTGGCGCCCGTTCGAAACACCTGTCCACATAGCCATCCCTTCCAGTGAGGATCACCGTTCAAGGAGGCGTCTTCCACGTGGGTGTTTCAGAAGACCTTATCAGGACTAAGAGTAGGCCCTTATTCCCTTCTTTTAGGGTTTAGGTTCCCTTACAACCCCTTTA